TCTGTGTCATTTCTGTGTCTGTCTTCCTGCTCCTCCTCCTCCCTTTCTCCATCTAACTTTCTTTGTCATTGTTGCGTGTCCCTGTTTGCCTGTGTACATGTCATCTTTCTGTGTCTTGTCCTCTCGGTCCACCTGTTTCTGTCTCTCTCTCTGGGCCTGTATCTCATCTTGTTTTTCTCTCTCTGCTTCTGTGTCATTTCTGTGTCTGTCTTCCTGCTCCTCCTCCTCCCTTTCTCCATCTAACTTTCTTTGTCATTGTTGCGTGTCCCTGTTTGCCTGTGTTTGTGTCTCTTTTCTGTGTGTGTCTCTGTCTCTGTCTCGACTTCACTGTGTCTGTGAATGCCCTCCTCATCTCTCCTGTCTCTGCATCTCTTTCTCTGTCACCATCTGTCTCCCGCTTCATCCCCGACTCCTTGTCTCTTCGTCACAGGCTGCTCGTCACTCCCACGTGGCTGTGGCCTGGGCTGGCTCCCTGGTGCTGATGGGTGGTGAGCTGGCTGATGGCTCGCTCACCAATGACGTGTGGGCCTTTAACGCACTGGGTGGAGGCCGCTGGGAGCTCTTGGCACCACCTGGCTCCAGCTCGGAGGGGCCCCCAGGCCTGGCAGGCCATGCAGCTGCCCTGGTGGACGACACCTGGCTCTATGTGTCTGGTGGCCGCACCCAGCACGACCTCTTCTCCTCTGGCCTCTTCCGTTTCTGCCTGGACAGTGCCAGTGGGGGCCGCTGGGAGCAGGTGATCCCAATGGGCGGACGGCCCCCTGCTGCCACCGGCCACTCCATGGTGTTCCATGCCCCCTCCCGTGCCCTGCTGGTCCATGGGGGACACCGGCCCTCCACTGCCCGGTGAGTGACCTGCCCCACATCCCCACCCCACAGGGCCAGGCTTGGCCCAGCACTCGGCCTGGCAGCTCCTCTCTGGTCTTCCACCAGCAATGTGTTCCTGCAGTCACTCACTCACGTCTTCATTCACTCTATTCATTTCTTCACTCATTCATTCATTTATCCATTCTTTTACTCACTGCTTCATTCACTCATTCTCTAATTTTTCTTTTTTTTTTAAATTATGTTTTCAGTGAAGGTTGACACAGCAGCTTAAGTTCCCATTGCAACAATTTCACAAATTGTTCAGTGCCATTGGGTTCATTCTTCACAACGCTTGAACTTTCTCATTATTTCTGTTTCATTTCTCCAATCTTTTATTTAACCTCTTGGTCAATTACCTCTCCTTACACGCCCACCCATCCTCCCATTCTAACCCCTGTCCGCTTGGTGTCCAGCCCTTGCTAGGTTATGAATGTAACCCAGAGATGACTCAGACCCAGTCCTGCATCCAGAGGCTTCTAGTTCAGAGAGGGCCATAGACCCAGCCTCTCTGGCTGCTGTGAGAGTGCATTGAGACGAAGAATGAGGGCTGGGGCCAGCCCTACACTTCTGAGAGCCCAGAGGAGGGAGAGAGGCCCTTCTTGCCCTGAGCCCCTGCCCTGCCCGCTCCTGCAGGTTCTCTGTGCGGGTGAACTCCACTGAGCTCTTCCATGTGGATCGGCGCGTATGGACCACCCTGAAGGGCCGGGATGGGCTTCAGGGCCCACGGGAGCGTGCCTTCCACACAGCCAGCGTATTGGGCAACTACATGGTAGTCTATGGTGAGGAGCCCCCTCATCCTGACTGTCTGCCTGCCTGTTGGGAGCCCGAGCCCGACCTTGAGTGGAGGCTTCCTGCATGGGGGTCCCTACTCCACCCCAGGCCTGCTAGCTGTGCCCCTTTCTTTCCTTCTTTCCCAGGGGGCAACGTGCACACCCATTACCAGGAGGAAAAGTGCTATGAAGACGGCATCTTCTTCTACCACCTTGGCTGCCATCAGTGGGTGTCAGGGGCTGAGCTTGCGCCCCCAGGAACCCCTGAGGGTGAGTGGCTTCCTCTGCTTCCCTCAGGGGCTCCTGAGATTCATGTCGGAGTGAGCCAGGAATCCTGTTGAAGCGGGCCTCGGAAGGCAAGCCCGGGCTGGAGGCAGGACTGGGACACTATTGCCATAGAGATGGGAGGCTGGTACAGCAGCGTCAGATCTAGGCTCCAATCCAGATTTTACCAGTTTCCAGCCACCCTAGGGAGCTTACTAAGAAGTGACCAGTCCAAGGTCACCCAGTGAGCACAGTGGCAGAACCAGGACAGCTGGGCCCAAACAACCCCCGTACTAAAACCAACACTTAATCTCTGGCCAGACTTTGTCTCACACACTTTGGACGTGTTATCAGCAGAGACCAGTCCCTGGAGAAGAACAGCATGCTTGGTAGAGTGGAGGGTCAGTGAAAAAGGAGGCCCCTCAATGGGATGGATTGACACAGTGACTGCAACAGTGGACTCAAACATGGCAGGGTTGTGGGGATGATGCGGGACGGGGCGGTCCTTGTGCACGGGGTCGATACGTGTCAGAACCTACCCAGTCACGCCTCACAACAACAACAAACGTCTCTGGGTCTCAGTCAGTCTCATCATCTATAAAATGAGGATTATAATAGCAAGTCAGCCATTGGGCCGTTGTGAGACTAAACAGATGGTGCACGAGGGCAGCCAGGTTCCCATTTGTCTTCCTGACGGCAGAGGGTCCTACCACAGGCCAGAGGCGCTGTGCAGAAACCGCTCTAACTCTTTGGATCCGAGAGAATCTAGCTGCTTTGAGAATTGGACGAGAACTACAGCCCCTCCCCTCAGAAAGGCACTTGTGCACACAAACTGGGCGTATCATTTCAGGGCTTCCCATGGGCTTCCCAGAGACCCATCTGTGTGGCTCTTCCCTCCCCTCTGACAAGGAGACAGAGGACAGGTTGTAAGGAAGGAACCTTACCACATAGGAGTAGCTGGGGGACCGTGAGCGATAAAGCCCAGGCCTGGCTTTTGAGGCCCCAGGGCTTCCAGGGCTCCTCTCCCTGCCCTCCCCTAGGCCCCTGCCCTGGCCCACAGTGTGAGGTTTCTGGAGCCGTGGTCGCCCTCCCCTGTGTCTGATTCCCTGGGCCACATCCATGCCTTAGAGTCAGTAACACAGTGGGGAAGTCACTGTTCTCTGACCACTTCCCCCTTGGCATCTTGGTTGTAAGGACTGAAGTTCAACTGGCTTAAGCAAAAAAAGGAGAATTTCTTGACTCACATACATGAAAACTCCCGATCTGGCTTTAGGCTGGGCTGGATCTAGGTGCTCACTTCAAGGCAACAGCTCTCTCTCTCTCTCTCTCTCTCTCTCTCTCTCTCTAGTTCTTGACTGAGTTCTCTTTGGTCTCTGGCAATTTCACTTTTGTATATTGTCACCAGCAGCTCTTGGGTTGTGTCCTTCAGTGGGGAGAGAGTGCTTTTTTCCTAAGAATTGTCACAGAAGTTCCAGGATAGACTCTTAGTGCCCAGAGTTGGGTCCTGTACACGTCCTTGAATTAGTCACTGAGAGCTGATTGGCTAAGCCTCCACTTCTGCAAGAGGCAGGAACAGTTGGACTGGAACCTCCTGGGCTGGGAGTGGGATGGGGTGGTTTTCCAGAGGAAAATCAGGGGCAGCCACCAGCAGGGTGGCTGGTGCTAGACAGACAGAAACAAGTGAGAGCCAGGCAGCGTGTCTGAGGCCCAGGAGCTGCTTCTCCAGTCCTTCCGGCTCCACGAAGGTGTGATGATGGCTCCCTCTCGCAGAGGAGGAACCGAGACTCTGAGAAGTTGAGTTGCCTGCCCAAGGTCACACAGCTAGTAAGCGGTAGATCCAGCATTTGAACCCGTCTTTTTTTTTTTTTTAACTTTTTATTATAATTAGGGTGAAAGTTTACAAAGCAAATTTGTTTTCCATTCAACGATTCATACACACGTTTCATGATACTGATTGCAATCCCCATAATGTGACAGCTCTCTTCCCACTTCCTCCCTGTGGTTACCTTTTCCCTGTGTCCTCCTTTCCTATGCATTCCTGCCCTCTGAGCTGTATCCCTGTGCAAGTACTGCCCTTCTGATCTCGTGTGGTTGATTGTTGTTCTGGTTACCTAGCGCCACTCTAACAGAAATATACCACAAATGGGATGGCCTTAACAAACAGGAGTTTATTCTTATAATTTGGAGGCTTTAAGTCCAAGGTCAAAGTGCCAGGCTCTAGGGGCTGGGTGAAAGCCCCTCAACCTTGGGCTTCAGCTCTGCCTCTTGCTTCGGCCCATGAAGTTAGAGGCATTTCTTCACTCAGACAGCTACTGACTACTGAAGTAACAAGCCCAAGGTCGACAAATAAAATGACACAGTCCCGATGTTACCAAACTGCACAGCAGGCCATTGATTCAAATTCGTTGAAAGTCCCAGGATCGGCAGAACATGGCAGGCTGCTGAACAATGACACAGCTACATGCAGGGTCTAAGCGTGCCATAAGCTAGAGACTGCTCCCCAAGGCTTCTCCTTATATACAGGAAGCAGACCATAACCCTAAGGAATCTACTGCTCACAGTAGATCCCACTGTAGAGTTGATTACTAGTCTCATCATGGGGAATATTACATCCAGCTGCCCAGCCACTCAACCAGGCTCAGCCAAGTTGACACACAAACTGAACTACCACAATTGTTACAAGGAGAGTACCTACCTGGTGTAATTATTCACCCTGTAGGCCTATTATTTGTCTGAAAGTTAAGCCATGGGAGTGACTTTAATTCCAAGCCCGGAAGAGTGACTAGGGGCCATAGTCTTGGGGGTTTCATCAGTCTCTGTCAGACCAGGAAGCCTGGTCTTTTTGATGATTTTGAGTTTTGTTCCCACATTTCCCCCCCATTCTATCTAGGAACTCCAATTTTGATCCCTTTCTGAGTGGTTGGCAGTGGTAGCCAGGCACCATCTAGTTGTTCTGGTCTCAGGGTAGATGAGGTCGTGGCCCATGCAGGCTATCAGTCTTGTAGACTTGTTTCTTCTCTGGGATACTGGTTACCTTCTTACTCTTTAAGATGCTCTGTTGCCACAGAGATTAAAGCATTCAGCTGCTAACCCAAAGGTTGGCAGTTCAAACCTACCAGCTCCTTGGCAGGACAAAGATGAGGCAGTCGGCTTCCATAAAGATTTATACCCTGTGAGGTAGTTCTTTTCTACTCTGACCTCTGGGGGTGGCTGTGAGTTGGAATCGACTGGATGGCAGTGGCTTTGGTTTTTGGTTTTCTTAACTCTTTTGGTGCTGACAAACTAGAGACCAGTGGTTGTATCTTAGATGGGGAACCCAAGTCTTTCTGACCCCAAAGGTTAGGCTCTGCCTGATTATTTGGGCAGAGGTGTGGGTGTGGGAGCCCAGAGGGGACAGAGCTTGAGCTAGTGCAGGGCCAGGAAGTGTTGGAGGGTTTCCTCTGGCAGGTGGGGTGGAAGCAGGAGCCTGAACGTTGGGCTGAGGGTTGGGAGAGTCGGGCTCAGCCCCTGGCAGCAGAGGTGGTGATGGGGCCTGGGAGTCTGATGGTCTTGGATGTCTGTATTCTCCTAGGCCGAGCAGCGCCTCCCAGTGGCCGGTACTCACATGTGGCAGCCGTGCTTGGTGGCAGTGTCCTGTTGGTGGCTGGGGGCTATAGTGGCCGGCCCCGTGGGGACTTGATGGCCTACAAGGTGCCTCCATTTGTATTCCAGGCATCTGCCCTAGAAGTGAGTACTGGGGTGACAGAGGGTGTCTGGGGAGGAGGCAGCATGGTTCCTGCAAATGAAGAAAGAAGTGGCTGGGGGTCCCCGGGAGAAGGAGCAGGGGTCCCTGGGACCATGAGAGGAAGGAGGTCCTGGGTCCAAGGGAGGAAAGATGAAGGTCCCTGGGGCTGGGAGAGGGTAGGTGGGGGTCCTTGAAGTGTACAATCAAGGTTACCTGCAGGCCCAGGGCTGACCAGCCCCTTCTTGTGCCCCCCCCCAGTACCACCTAGACTATTGCTCCATGTACACGGGCCACAGCGTCTGCTCCCGAGACCCTGAATGCAGTTGGTGTCAGGGGGCCTGCCAAGCTGCACCCCCTCCTGGGACCCCCTCAGGGGCTGTGAGTGATCCCCAAACCTCTGTCCTCAAGTGCAGAGACCCTGCTCAAGTGGAGAAGGATCTTCCCTCCCCTGACTGGGAGACTTGTTTTCACAGCTAAGATCTCTGACCCTTGACCCCCTGAGATCCTTTGGAACTTAGGACCCTGTCCCTGGACCCCCCAGTCCTGTCCTGTCAATCTCCCACATTCCAACCCCACCTTCAGCTCTTTATCCTCTCATTTCTGGTCTGTTCTGCCCTGGGAGCAACGTGTCCACAGCCCGACTCCGGTGTTTGGAGCTGTGGTGACAGTGAGCCCTGTCCTCTCCTCTCCCTGCAGTGTCCGGCTGCCAGCTGCCTGGGCCTGGCACGCCTCCTGGG